GCGTAATAGTGTGGAATATGCGGAAAAATAGCAACGGAACAGAAACGCATGCGACGAGTATTGCGAATGTGTACACGATGGCCGAAGGAGCATGATGAGATGAAGACGAGGAGAACTCGCTTTTGTAACCCATATAATTGTAGTTATAGATGGGATCAACACTCTTTAATAAATTTTTCTCTTTCAGGGTGTTGTTGCCATATCACACGTGTTCTCCTCGTCTTCATCTCATCATGCTCCTTCGGCCATCGTGTACACACTCGCAATACTAGTCGCATGTGTAGCTGTAGTGCTGCTGTTTCTCGGCATCTTCCGGCATATACCTGTTCTGCTGGTACCCCACATGCTTATGCAGGCAAGTGTACTTTTATACACACCGAGTTCGGTCTTCTTAGCACCTTGGCATTAAAATTGTGACTGTGTTTTTATGCCTTACTAGGTTGTTATGATGGAGCCTTTATAGTCCGACGTTTCGACTAACAAGTCATCGTTGCACTGGCGGCTACGGGAGAAGGACTTTTTCTGGTCTTCTTAGTCGAAACATGGGACAATAACGGCTCCATCATAACAACCTTGTAATATTGTTATTGATGTGGATAATGAAAAAAGGTTGAGGGTAACGCTCACTAACAGGTTGAAATCTCTTCCCCCCCCCCACCCCTCTTCCCGCACGGTTAAACATCTGTGCACTGTTGAAGCGAAACGTCTTAACACGTTCGAGGCGGCGTGTACTCCCGGGAGTACACGCGGAAACCCCTGTTTTCGGTCATTCGTACAGTATTGCGAAAACACGCGCATATTTTTTTGTTCTTTTTGCGACTGATTATATTCTACTAGCATACATTTACACAATTAACACATCAATACGAAGAAAAAATTGTAAAAATAAGCCAAAAACAACGAACGAACGTGAGTTCTGGGCGAAATGGCCTTCGCCTCGAATGTGTTAAAAGTGGAAAATAACGAGTAAAGGAGTCACGATACTTCTACCTGAAATTCGAAAAGAACGAGTAATCCACTTCGAGTTGCTCACTTCCATTCTCGTGATGCTCCACCTTTCTCTTCCGCGGAGGTACTCGAAAGTGTATGCGACCCACATAACGACTTGACTGGGTCTGTCAATGCTCGACTTAGCTGTTTTATCTATGTAGAGGAACCTGACTTTATGATGCTAGCTATCCTACCTCTGAGCAATGAAAGCTCATTGTTTGCGTTCTAAGCGGTGTCAAATTCAAGATGAGCGAATTTCGACCATAAGATAGCGTTCAGACTTCGCGACGACAGCGCTTCGGTCGCGCGTTCGGCGCGATCGATGCGCATGCTTTCGACATCAATCGCGTCGAACGCGCGACCGAAGCGCTGCCGTCGCGAAGTCTGAACGCTGCCTAAGTGTCGCATCGAAGCCAAGGGTGACGGTAAACTACAGACTCGCACTTGAGCATCCGGCCTTTGCGAGCGCGCGGTCGCGGCGCGGTTTCGGCGCTAGAGCATCATAATCAACCACCGCGACCAGCGAGTAGCATCTTAAGTTGACTACTATGAACTCAACATGGGAATATCACCACACTATACTCACAAAAGCATCGAATCTTGTACAATAATGTTTATGATGTGGCGTCTCCCACTAAATTTCCGTTGAACTGGAGGTAAAGTCGAGTAAGGAGGAACAAACGTCTCCTTATCATGTTTAGGCGCCTCGCCCATCAATATGGGGACATTTCCTCTAAAGTGTACCCGCTTCCTTAACTTTAAGCATTCTGCGCTCGAAATGGCTTCTTCAAGAGAGCAGTTGGAAACAGCTTCTGTACACTTCATCAATGTCGTAGCAATTCAATCAATTTTGCACGTTCATTTTGCGGGTCCTGCAATTACATGCCTTATTAGAATGTGGCATTTTGTGAGTTATACAGTGCTCCTTCAGCAATGCGAAGCAAACGGCACCTTTATACGCAACGCTTCTCACAGAGTACCCTATCTGGGGAAACGGCGACAGGGAAATGGATCTGGTTGTTTCAAATAATTCCCGGTTGTATCAGTGGAACCGTTCTGGTGAAGCACTGTGGCCAGCTTTTGGATGTGACCCATCAAGTTGGTTGAGTACGGCGAGACTTTCTACATTCCTTACAGTGATTGACATCTGAAAAAAATTACACACAATGGAGACCAAAAGGGTTTTCGCTCTTGAATGGGTGATGTATACATTATAACAACGAGCACTGTGCAAGTCATGTAAAGCGATTCAAATTGAAACATCTGTTTTGCTTCCTTTGAGCTTCGTCAGGTGCGCGCCTGATCTTCGATTATGCAAAATACGACCGCTTTCATACTTCGCGGTTGTGCGACAACCGGTATGGAGCGCGCCGGCAGACAATCTTCAGGGTGATCGTGCGTGACGCCCTACGCCGGATTGCTCAAGTGCGAGTCTGTAGTTTACCTTAACGTCGAAGCCAATTTCCACCGTTTCACCTCCGCGTCTTCAGATAAGACTTAGATTCGAAGGCATTGAAATTGAAATTCATCCCAAAGGCGAAAAGATACAAAGAAATGCAGCAAAGATAAAGATGCAGAATTGTGTTTGGATTCTACCCCCTGAGTTCATCTCAGCTTGAAATCTGCGTGTAGGACCAGCCTAACCAACATATTTGTAATCCCATCTGCTTACATAGTTGTGTGTGAGAGTATGGCCTTTCAAATAAGGAATAGCGGAAAATTGCTTTCAAAGAAGGTCCTCAAATGGAAAAAAATTACAAGTAGTCCATTCGTTCGTGAAGATTCCAGTCACAGAACATGTTCCATTCGTGAATGACCAATCAAATAGCTACCACTTTCCTATAAGAAGTTAACACGCCTGTATGGAGCGGTTGTGGTCTGTTCATAAGTGGCAATGAAGAATGACCGGAAAAAACGGAAGCTGAGAAAGAAGAACTGTTGGAATTGAGCGCAAATCTGCTCTAAAATCAAATAATATTTGTTTTTGCCAAACAAAACTTATTACCCTCAACGGTCTGAACCTTGTCCGTTCAACATCTTCTTCAAGCGACTCAGGTTTCTCACTATGTGAAATTCCCCAAGCAAGCGCCTTCTCTGTGTTACGATTTGGAGCTGAATAGTCCCGAATTTCCGAGGATGCATCCAATCTAGCTCATTATGGTTTCAGGTCCTTTTCGTCCTCACCCTGCTCGGTATGGCTTCATTTACCGTCTACACATTGTTTGCGGGTACATCAATTCAGCTGAGGATTGCTGTTGCCGGTCAGGACGATGAACTCTCTCAACAGGTATGTCCTTCACGCTATGCTGGTCGATTAAATTGCTCTTACTACTCTTTATTCTCTTAGTTGAGAAAATGTGGATGGCTTGGCGAGCGCTATTAGTGGAACATAGGCGCACACGACCTTTTGTCCCCTGCTACAAGGATACTGCGGAGTTTACTACACGAAACTGGTAGATTCTGACCTCAAACGCACACATGACACGTGCGCGCGGTGGTTTGTCTCATTGTTGCGCTACTCCTCTTTGCCATCTTGAAACGAGAAGCTCATCAATGGGGTAAGGCAGCGTTCAGACTTCGCGATGGTAGCGCGTTCGACGCGATCGATGCAGTCGAAAGCATGCGCATCGATCGTGTCGAACGCGCTACCGAAGCGCTGCAGTGGCGAAGTCAAAACGCTGCCTAAGGGTGTACGTGTGCATTTGGCTCTGCTCCAGCATGGAATGCACCTTTCAGTGTATACAATATAAACTGCTTTCTTGTAAAATTCGTTTCCCTTCTGATGATACCCTCGCTAGCCGCAAAGTCGGTATATGTATGGCAAAAGTTCAAACACTGGCATAAACGCTGGACTGGCATTTCCATCGGTATGCTGCCGAGTTCAGTATTGTAAAGGAGATATAAGTGTAAGGCGATGAAATTGCACTGTTCTTAGGCCTGTTTTGGCGACATGATCCTCAGCAGTTGCAAGGAAGGCATCTCTTGGCTTACGCTAGTGACCTACCACAAGCTTTCAACCCAACTCACTGGGATGATATCAGCTCCTTCACTCAGCCATGCACGTTACGGTAGGCGACTCACCAGTAGTGGGTAGAGGCATGCCATTACCGTCAGAACTCAAACCAGTTCTAACTGAATTAGGCTCAAATTGGAACCACTGAAAAAGTCATTCGACAAGCTTTTTTCACTTGTATGAACAAAATTCTGCATGTTTCGAACTAATTAAATCAGAATGACTGTTTGGCAACAGCCGCCCTTACCGCACAGCAAATTATTTCCCTACCTTGTCATCAGGGAAATCGTTCGCCTCAGCTAAATATACCAAATATATTCGGGAATGGGAGGTATACTAGATTATGTGTTTTTCTAGAGAATTACCCTCCTTAGTGCTGAGCACCCCACCATTGAAATCCCCTTACCGAATTGACTTTGTGGATGTACTGGTGAAGACAAAATGAGGGTATCGAGAAGTACTTCAGTACTAACAGAACGAAAGGAACATTTATGAAAAGCGGAGCCAGGTTTCTTTCCACTGTTGATTTTTGAAGGGATGCGAGGTTGCGGCTAAGGTTGAGCAGTGGTAAAGAGGGTGAAGACGCTGTACAGTGGGGGATCGCCACCGAGAAGGGATCGCTGGAGGGAGGAGGACGTATCTGCCTCTGAGAAAATGTTTTCTGTTGTTGACTTCTTCCTACTCCCCCTCCCCGATCTCCCATCATCATCGACAGTTTTTTTTTGTTTTTTTTTCAAATCTTCGGCGCTGTTTATCGACGGGGGGCATTTTGTATTATAATTGCTTCCCTGGTTCCGGTTTACAAATCTCACTCTGGTAAAACTTGTGAACGCTTGTGAAGCTGGAGCAAGATCGTCTAGCCACCTAAAACGTGTCAACTCGAAAAAAGGGTACCTAATGGGTTGGCAAATCTATGAAAAACAGAATGCCCCTCCCCGCCGATAAACAGCGCCCAAATCTTCGATAGGTTCTCCTCCGCAACAACCAGCACAGTTACTCGTGCTTGGTCACTGAGGAGATTTTGGTCCATTCCAAAAAAAGAATCAGACTAAAAAGCTGAATGTCCTCCAATATAATAGATCTTCTTCAGACTTTGTTGAATACCTCACCATTCAAGCTGTCTCAAGTGTCGGGTTTTCTCACGGGTCTATTGGTACTGATTGTTGTCGGCTACTTCACAGCCGCTCTTATAAACGTGAGTTTTCTTTCTTATTCTTAGAGAGTACACTCTATATTCTGAAAATGACGAAAGTGTGCCCACACACTTGTTGTAAGCGCGGAATTTGTTATTTGCGTATTGTACCTGTATGAGGCGTACTTTTGGACAAATGCCACTCACTAGATGAGGGAGACTGCGTCTTGACTCAACCGGCCCAAGGTGCAGATCATCATGTGTGAAATAGCTGTGCCAGTACTGCCTCCTCCCCCTAACTTGAAAACTCCTCATCCTGAATAACCCGCTTCCTCATCCTCTGCCGCTCGCTGTAAAACACATGTAGCCCAGTGCCACATTGAGGTGCATGTGACTATCAGCCCCCCAGCTGTCGATGTGTTGTGGTTTCACCGCCCGAGGGTTAGAGTACAGGGCCAGGGCACAGCATTCGATGGGGATTTTGGTCGAGCTTTTACGACCCCCCCCCTCTTTTTTTTCAGGGCTGGTATCGACCCACTATGCTCGTAAAACTCATGAAGTGAACCACGTAACTCTAGCCAGAAATACGACCTCCCCCCCCCTCCAAAACGTCCGCAAAGCGAGAAAAATCAACTATAAAAATAAATTTTTCCCAGCCCAAATACGACCCCCCTTTTGGCGGCCAAATACGACCCCCCATAGGGAATCCCCATCGAACGCTGTGCCCTGCTTCGCCTTGTGCTAACAGCCGTTCCGCAAGATCAATGCGTGTGTCCCTGCAACCCTCTTGCTTTTTGCAAAGTCTCCTTTTGTTGCCGCTTTGATATTGCAAGGAAACGCCAATTTCCATGATATGGACATGATTATAATGCTGCAAAATACGAAAACCGAAGATGATGACGAAGGCCCAGAACTTCAAAGAGTAACTGTGGCTGACTCTCATCGAGCTTCTCTCTCTCTCGATCACTTATCTCTCATCTTCTCCTATTCTCTTCAAATCAAGAGGATCTACTCCTCTTTCCCTCTCTCTCCATCTCATCGCTGCTTGGCGAAAATTTTCCGGTGGTGATTAGGACCATACCCCTTTCATAGCGAATAAGTACGACCCCTCCTGCTCTCTAAGCGCCACTACGCTCACCAAACCAAGTATTGGACACAAAAATCTCCAACAGCCATTTCCAGGAAACGTAACTGTATATAATTGTGTCTACGACAGGGTTCATCGTTGTTAGGGAATCTCCAGCGGGGGAGTCGTATTTGGCCGCCAGGAGAGGGGGAGTCGTATTTGGGCTGGGAAAAATTTATTTTGATAGTTGATTTTTCTTGCTTCACGGACGTTGTAAAGGGGGGGGGAGGGTCGTACTTGCTCGTTGTTGGGAGGGGGGGGTCGTATTTACTTTCTGGCCTTCTGGATGAGGTGGCTGACTTTTCGTGATTTTCCTGTTTCATGAGTAGTATCTAATTCCCCGCTCGACGGCTCGACTTGATGAGGAGGGAAAGAGGGCAGAGGGCCGGAGGGGAGGGGGTGTACCAATCCCTAAAAAAAGAGTGGGGGGAGGGCTGTACGGACCCGGCTAGAATCCCCAAACAATGATGTGCCCTGGTCTACGATGCCATGTGTGACATTAAGTCTAAATGACACACATTGAATCGCTACTGTTACATTCTTGCAGATTTGGTGTTTCAATGTAGTTATGGATTGCTACCGATGGCTGGGTTTTCGCCTCGAAGAAAAGAGTCGAGCTCTGGGACGCAACGACATTCCGATCTCACGTCTGGACGACAAGGCCCCTGTCGCTGTTATCCACGCCACCGACTTCTGATCCCCTTCCCAATCGTTACTTTATGGGTTCGTCAAATCGTGCCATACTGTAATACCTGCTCCATCACTGTTTTGTGCCTTATGTCCAACTCGTCTGTACCTATTGAGAATAGGATTATTTTGATGTTCTGCACTAAAATTACGGGTATGAAAGAACATAATAAATACTAATTTTGCCTAAAGTTTTCCTTTAGTTTTATGTCTACAGAATTGAACTGCTTTCCTTTTACCTACAGGAAGACTGCGTGTAGATGCTGCAAGCCGTGTCTTTCAGCGCGTTCATGCATCGCGGTCGCGCAATCAGATCGCGCGATCCAGTTGCGCGATTGCGAAGTATGAACGCGCTTCTACTCCTGGGGACAAAGGCGGTCCTCAAGGCAACCCGTTTGTCAAGAGCACAGTCGCTTGCCACGCCCACCATAGCGACTTACTACGATTGTCTTGTCACATACACATCGAGCGAGCGCTCAGGTTTCATTTAAGTTTGAACTACTCAAGAATCTAACCTTATAGGATACCTTGTGGGAGCCAGCGAAGTTGGTTGTATTGTAGCTGGCAGCAGGGGGAATCGTCTTAGCTTTCGAGAGAAATGTTTCCAGTAGTTCGACGTTTCCTTATTGTATCTTGTCGCGAGCTCGCTATCCTCTCGCCTCTTCCCCCTCTTTCCCCTTCCCCCCCACCTCCCCTCTGCCGCTGCTCGACAGCTGTCGCTTGGGAAAAGTCAGCAAGATGGTAGGTAAGGCGGAGGAGTCTACGGTTCCTATCACGGGGCTTTTCCACGAGGGTCGTACTTTTGCAAAATTTTTCCTTCCCGGCAGCACGTTGCCCTAGGTCCCAGGTAAACCGCAAGCTTACTCGGCGGAAAAGCAGATAGAACCAATGGTGTAGTAAGAGGTCGAAACGAGCACACTCTCACTTCGCAAGGTCAGTTGGTCGGATGTTCAAACACATCGACCGCATAATTCTCATCGAAAGCAATCTTCTAAGGCATTACTGGAATGGGTTTTGCCCGAGCATCTCGGCTAAACATGTGAGGGGAACAAAAGAAGGTGCTCGGTGAGAGCGAAGGCAAGGCTAAGTCCACGGAACGTACCTTCTTCTTTAACTAAGCTTCAATACTTCTTCGTTATGGACGGCTGAAACCCGGATCTTCATTTACCTAAAGCTCCACGTTCTTCGCGGCGGATGTCTCTAGATTAGCCGTTACCAAAGGCAGATGGTACGATAAAACCATAAGACGCTTAGAACAAGTGAGGTGTGGCGCGGACTGAATCCCTGCCCCTAACAGGGCGCTACAAATAGCTATTTACAGGCGAAGGCTACACCTATAGCGCCCTATCCAAGGCTCCAAATATGCCAATCCGGACGCTCACCGCACCTGACCCCGGGGGGGGGGGGGTGAGAAAGACTTTTCTTTCTCGATTTTCAAGGCAATATAAGTTACACTTCAAAATTCGCTCAGTGAAGAGCTCCGCCCGAACCCTGTAATCGGAGTTTAGGACGGGTGGCACACTTGGATATTCCGTCTTCTTCAGGTTCTCAACGCCCTTCGATTCCAAGAAGGCGAGAGTTTTTCGATTGCATGTGCTCATACCCAATCCCGTAGAAGTACGAAGTTTCCAAGAAGGTACAGGCGATGACATGAAGGCAGGGTATTCTCCTCGAGTGCTTTGGAATCGATGTGATCGTCAGAGCTCACCTTCAGTCCGGGGTCCACGAAGAAAATATCGGTCTTCCCATTCCAGATTCTTCCGGTCCATACCATCACCCCGCGCCTTGGCGCTTGGCGACTGCGGTGAAGAAGATTTCCTGGACCGTAGCGACGTTGTCGGAGCTGCTCGATCGATGTAGTTCTTACCAGATCAAGAGTGCTGGTCCTGGTCCCCAGGTAGCTGTCCATGGGTGACTCCATACTAGAAGTTTCGCAGCTGTTTGGAGGTGACGTGAATTCCAAAGGCCTTCTCCAGTCGCGATTGGAGATGACTTCATATTTTGGTGTACATGAAGGTGATGGACGAGAGCCTGCTCCTGCTTATCGAGGAACATCTTGGGTATCTTCCGCCCTGGTACTCGTATCCACGTCTTCTCTCTGGGCTGCGTAAAACTTTACTGATATGTGACTCGGCCAAAGTGTCTTTTTTTTGCCCCCCCCCCCCCTGTAGCTGGGCTCACAGTCACATCTACGCTGGTGCTCTTTTCGCATCATTTATGAAGTACAATTGATGTGAAGCGTTGTATGTATGAATACATACGTTGTGGTGGTCGTTAGCATTCCAACGGGAAACCCGTTCGAAGATGCTCGTTAAATGCAGTGCAGAAAAAGGTTTTTTGACAGGCTGTTGACCGGTCAATTTTTGGTCAGTTTTCCACTATATAGCACTATTTCTGAGCAGGTGCTTTTGATCGGCGAAAGATCCTCGATCGAAAAGTTCGAAAACATTAAATCGACCAAATTTACATGTCTTTGACTGGCTTCTTTAGGGTGGCATCACCACGGCTATTCAGTCCACAAGTCCTTCTTGTTTACCTTGTTGGGAGCCCGATACCGGATCTTGGCTTGCCGGGAACACAATC